CCATGCCACATAAAACACCACTAAGCAAATCTGCTTGCACTAGTGTGTACTGCAAGCACTATTCATTTTCAGGGCTGACTGCAGTCAGGAAACAGTACGATGGCTATTTTTATATTGTCTTGCAGTAGTCTCTGAAGGTGATTTTCCTTCAAGGCTACTTGTGCAGGGACCCGGGTAGCACAGGTGATGCAGATAGCTACTGCAGAGATGCAGGCACAGCAAGTGCTGGTTTGCAGAGTTCGGCACCACTTTTTCAGCTTAGGGGGCTGCATTTGTGCTGGTGAGAAGCTGCAACTCTGCCTTTGCACCAGTGCCAAGGGGCTGAGCACGGCTGGCAAGTCAGGTCTCACCTGAGGGACCATTTTCAGAGCTCCAGCCCATTTCCTCGCCAGCCTTTGGCGTGGCTGGTGCTGCCCAAATGTGGCAAAGGAGAAGAGTCTTTTCCAGTGGCAGTTTTGGGGCAAGCCTCCCTGGTCATACTCACCCCTTGTTTTTTATGACGTGCATACGAGAGGATTTCAGCCAGATCTCAAAGTGCCCATGCAGAGGATGCTCTCCAGCCATCACTTGACCTCAGGCTAGCCACCGCCTGGCTGTGTGAAGGCTTTACGTGCCTGTGAGCTTCATGTGCTGCTTCCCTTTCCTTGCAACACACTACCTGTAACCATGCTCCAGGTGAGTGGGTGAACCAAACATTACTGAATTGTGCAGCGAAGAGCTTTCATATCAGCTAGTGTGAAAGCTGGCCTCCTTCTGCGTGTGCTTCATGGCACCAACCTGAACTGCATGATAGCAGTGTCATCTTTGCCCTTCCCCTCTTGGGGGTCCCCGCATCATCCAGGACCTGCTGTGGGGCTGATTGGGATCCTCCAGCCAGGGAGGCTGCTTCAGGCTTGAAAGGATGAGGCCTAACTTGCCTGGGAGCTGAGGGTGGAGAGCTGCAGGTGCTGTTGGTGAAGCCTTTGAACATACCAAGTACTGCAGGATGCAGCTGATCGTTGTTTCTAATTGGCAGCGGAGTGATCAGCTGCTTTTATCTCTCTGAGCCCTCGCTCCCCAGCTGGAGAGTAGGATGATGCCTGCCCCCTCACTTCCCAGGGTTGTTCAGAGCGGTCATTAACCTTAAAATCACTGAAGCACCCAGTCACTGAAGCAGTGAGTGCCACAGAAAAGCCCAGAAGGAAACTAATCCTGGTGCCAGAAGCAGGTTTGAACAAGCGGCATCACATGCTGGGCAGCGAGCAGAGACAGACCGTTGCATCAAGGCGGTGGGGCTCCCCATACCTGCTTGCCCCCAGCCCTCCTGCCCTCCCTGAGCAGCTTTCCTCTGTCTCGCTGCTCCTTTCCCTGCTTTGTGCCCACGGGAGCACAAGAGGTGGGGTCTCTGCTCCCTCGCTCAGGGGATGCCCTGGCCCGGGGAACAGGGCGAGGGCAGGCTCGGCTGCTCGCGGAGGTGGCCTGCCTGCGATGCGGCGAGGACCGCGGACCTTCCCTCAGGGGGTCTTTGGAGCCCTGGGACTGCCGCAAGAGATGTAAGCCTATTACCAAGTCTGGACGTTGTCTATGCTTTGAATGGGAAAAAACTGGCAGGGCCAGAAATTTGGAAAAGGTTGAAGATTGCTTTGGGAACTTGCTGTTTAAAAACTCATGAATACTTTTTTTTCTACCCCAATACTTGAAATGTTGCTAAATTTGATGCGTAGATGAAACGATGTTTCTGTTCCTTAGTCTCCAGCTTGGAAACATTAGGACTCTCTCCCTCTTCCCCACACAAAAGCTGTCTCAGCCGGAGCAGGCATAAATATTTTTATCAGACTTAAATTGCTTGGGCTGAAGTTAAAAGTGAAGGAAAAGAGCGGCCTTTGTTATGACGAAGGCTGGACTGCCCTAGCAGGCAAGTGCTACTGGTTTCACCTGTATTATTTAGTCTTTCCATATTAGCCAGGAAAGCTGCGTCTGATGAGATGTGGGAACACTCTGCCCATACCAGCCTTGCTGCTGTCAAGGCCAGACTCCACTGACCGTGGTCACTGAGCGTTGTTAACCTTAAGCCTTAACTGAGGTTAATGTTTGGCTTCATTTTCTGGTGTGAATAGCAACAGTAGCAAAAGGGCAGTTTTGAGCAGGAGAACTTCCTCTGTTCAGGCCAAACCCAGACATACCTCTTGCAAATTCATGTGACCTGAAATTATGTCACTTCCAGTTTTCATCCTGACTGTCTTCCAGAGGTTGATGCCTGTACAGTTTGCTGGGGGAAGAGGTTGTGTGCATGCTTCCTAAGCCACTCCTGCAAAATCAGCTGGGGTAGCCTAGATTGTCAGTGTGACCCAGAATGAATTCAGCAGAGCCGGCCAGTGGTGGACTTGGGGATGTCTGGCCTAACCCCTTCTGCTAGCAGAGCTTTGAGGCAGGTAGCCTCTGGAAGTGGTGTGCCCATGGGCAGCTGGGCACAGGAGAGTCTTGAAGGGCACGAGAAGATCTTAAGGAAGCTGACTTCTTTCAGCCTTATGCATCTAAGAAGTAATCTGGTAACAGTAAAACATTTCATCTGCAGGAACAGAGGTCTAGCAGGGGAGAGCAGCAATGTCATCCTGGTCAAGACTCCAAGAGGAGGCACCTGGCCCCTGGCCATGTTATTTTTAAGCTTGGAAAGCACATGTGGTCTGCAAGAGCATAGCACTAAGGAAAGGAACTCGCCAGCACTTCCTGCCCTGCCCCGGCAAACTGATAAAGCAAGCCCTTTGCAACGCAGGGCGACCCCAGTTTGTTTTTAAAATGTGGCCAGGCATGGAGCTCACAGAATAACTGGAACACCCAGCTTTGGGCATTAATTCAGCTTAATTCATTGCCTGATGAATTAGAGTTAATATAAATGTAAAAAGGACAAGAAAGGCCTGCAGACCATCTCCAGAGCAATGTCTGCGTAAGGGCATTCATCTATGCATGTACATGGGATCTAAAAAAAGGGTAGTTAGTAAATGTTACACAGGGAGGGGCACATAGCGTTATCCTGAGCACCGTGTGAATTTTCTTGCTGCTTGGACAATGCATCTCAATCCTGTTCCCTTCTCTTGTTATTCCAGTCCCAGCCCTCTTGTAAGCAAAGATAATTGCATGCTGAAGGATACAGTTCCCATGTAGAGTAAGCGCTCACATTGAGGAAATCTAGGTTCCCGCAATCGAAAGCCAGCAGTTTGTTGTGCAGTAATGGTAACAAGGCCCACTGGGATGAATCTATCTTTATTGCATGCCCTGTGGAGGCATAAATGAAATTGCCAGAGATGTTCTCCCCCTTGCCTAGACGCTTGGGCAGCAGGGTTGCTGTGGCACCAAAACATGCTGGGTTCAGGCCAGGAGGGAGCTATTGCAGGGGGAAGGAATTACAACCCTCAGCACACATGGTACCCCACCACCTCTTGGCTCTGTGAAACAGCCTCATTCCCACAGCAGGATGAATTGGTTTGTTAAGAATGAAATTCCTATTTCTGGTCTGACTGATTAGGTATTTTATGGATAGACTTTATTCTGAAACAGAAACCCTTCTGTCTCAAACACACTTTTGAGGCATTAAAGGGGCTGCGTTAAAATGTCCCAGCTGGAAGAAGAAATACCCCTCCTTGTCATCTTGTCCTTCTGATCTCCCTGTGCTAGGACTGTGGGGTGATGTTGCTAGAAAGTGGGACTGGTGAGCTTGCCACGTCTCAGCAGTGGGTGACAACCTCAGATTGTCCTGCCCTGAGCAGGCGCTTGGGATCTTGACAGCGATGCTGGGCCTCCAGAAACAGAAATGCCACCTGGGAGGAAACAGCCCAGGCTTTAGCCTGAGCACCCTCTGGCCCAGACCTCTGGGAGGCCTCGTCAGGGCCAGGCGGATGCCCCAGCAATGAGACTGCGTTCCGGAAAGCTGGGAATTAAATTCTTTCATCATGAGCCCCATGGCATGGAAAGCTTTATTAAGTGTGAGGTCTGAGCAGCAGAGCCAGTAACCACACAAAACACCATAGCAGTCTCAGTCGTGCCAAGGGCCTGTGCAAGGGGTGGCACACGGAACTGCTGCTGGGACACAGCTGCCTGTGGCAAGCGCCGCGACACCGAGACCCGGGGAGTCTCTCAGCCACGCTGGGGTCACTTCAGATAGGGGCGAGCTGGCTGCAAGCACAGCTGTGAAGGGGGTGCTTGGGGGAGATGGCTCAGATCAAAGCCATGGTGTTTACTAATGCCTTCCACAGATTAACAGTGAAGTAAGCACCAAAAATAAACACCCCGATGCTTTTAAAAACACTGGGGTGAAGGAAACCCTTTCTGGTTTAGCAGTCTTTGTGGCTCTACCCTTTTTCCGGGGACCACAGTCATGAGGCATCCTGGGGGCTGGGAGGATTTACCACAGCCTGATCCTGATGGAGCTGAAAGGCAGGAAGAGCTTTGCCTGTAGTGCCTGTGTAGAAGCACAAAACTGTGCAGGCTTGTTCCCACCCAGGTGCACATACTAGCACTGGCAGTGAATATTGCCCTGATCTAAGCTGGCTGTGTGGGTCCCCAGACACACTTTATGTGGAAGGTGGTCAGGACAGCCCTGCCTATGCCATGGCCACGTCTCCAACATTAGCCTTATGTTGAGGGAAAGCAGCGCTCATCTCCCGTCCTGCTTTTTTACACCTGGGGAGGTCCTGCCTGCTTCTTTTCCATTCAGTTCCAGGGAACTTTAAAGGAGAGAGGAAGGACATGCCCTCCCACAGTGCCCCAACAGCGTCACAGGGCATTGATGGTAGCAAGTGTCTTCACAGTTCTGTTCTTCGACGTTAATTTGATAAGAGGAGACTTTCACCCTCACCATCTGCTGATAAAGGGAAACTCGGTTGATGCACTTAGGAGCTTCTAGACTCTTTTCAGGGCTAGAAAGTATACCAAAGCTTTTATTCAAGCAGGGACTTACTTTCATTTTTCTCCTTGAGGGAATATACTCTGAATTGTGGGTCATTCTGCCTTTCTTTCTTTTCCAGGGAAGAAACTGCCATGCCTGTGGGAATCTTCCGGGTATGCCTAGTGGTGATTACAGCTATTGTCAACCACCCGCTCCTCTTCCCTAAAGAGAATGGCACTGTCCCCGAGAACACGGAAGAAATCATCCGAAAGATGAAGGAGCGGGAGGAGAGCCTTCGGCTGGAGAAGTTGCGCTTGGAGCAGGAAATTGCACACCAGGAAGCCACGCAGAAGACTCTGGAAAAGGCTGCAGAGGTGGTGGAGGAAAGCAAAGAGGAAAAGGTCCGATGGGATATGTGGACTGCCCTTTCCATGGTCATCTTCCTGCTGATCGAGCTCTGGAGGCAGGATTTCCAGGAAGGGATTTGGCAGGACACAGGAGGGGAAGAGGATGACATGGCTGTCCTGGGGAAAGTGTTTAAAGGTGTGGCCTTCCCTGACAAGGCCGTCTTGGCCAGCTTCTATGAGAAGCGCATCCTGGGTACCACCGGAGACATGGCCAGGATGCGGGAGATGGTGGAAGGCTTTGCAGATGACCTGTTGGAAGCCTTGAGGAGTGTTTGTAACCGGGACGCTGACATGGAAGTGGAGGACTGCATGGGTGTGGGGAGCATGTATGAGAACTGGAGAGTGCGTAAACCTTTTGTCTGTGATCTGATAGTGCCTTTTGCGCCCCCAGAGCCATACTGTTTTCGGTCCCAGACCTGGTGCTCTGGTGACTCTTTTCCCCCAGATGAACAAGGTTATGGCACTATCAAGGTATGTAGGGCAGATGAGGATGTGACGGGTTGCATCTGTGACAAGACTAAACTAGGGGAAGATATGCTGTGCCTCCTCCACAGCCAAGCCAATACTACCAGGCCCAGCAGTGAGATGGAAGACCTCCTGTGCTTCAAAAATACTCAATATCTGGATGCTGATCAAGTCATGAAGTGGTTCCAGATTGCAGTCACCAAGGCCTGGAACAGAATCTCCCACAAGTATGAATTCGACCTCTCCTTCAGCCTCCTGGACTCCCCAGGAGCCCTGAAGATAAAATTTAGGTCAGGGAAATCGATTGCCTTCAACCTCACCCCTGTGGTGCAGTACGAGAACTCCGATGTTTACTTCATCTCTCATTTCCCTCGGAGTGGCCTGGCAGCAGACCTCCCCTCCAGCACTCACTGGTTTCTCACCTTCGCAGTGTATGAGAGGAGGTTCATCCAGCTGGTCTCCAAAATGCTGCCTGCTAATGCCTGCCATGTCAGCTGCCTTCAGATCCTCTCCTTCCTTCATGGGAAGCAATGCAGCCTCACAGGTCCAAGCGGGCTTACCAACTACCACCTGAAGACAGTAATGCTGCATCTTCTGCAGGCACGTCCCAGTCAGGACTGGGCCCCAGAGAAGTTGGAGGCCCGTCTACAGGACATGCTGAAATTCCTGGAGAAATGTTTGCATGAGAAGAAACTCTACCACTTCTTCATTGGCAATAGGAAGGTACCAGCAGAGCTGGGCTTCCCCATCATATTCCAGAGGGCTGAGCCTCTCAACCTTTTTCGTCCCTTTGTGCTACACAGGGATGTTTACAGGAAGACAGTGGACACATTCCACGAGATGCTCAGGAACATGTCTGCACTGATAAATGAGTACACAGTGCACATTCCCCTTGCACACACCAATGGGATCCATAAGGAATCCCTTTAACCAAAGCCAGCAGGAAGACACTTGTTCCTCTAAGCACAAGTCCAGAGTGCAGCTTTCTGAAGCCTCCTGGAGACAACTGACTTTGCCAGTACAGCTTATTGTCTGCAGCTGAACCAGTCCTGGGCCATGGTTTCTGCAGTAAGGGAGAGGGGATGGGGGGAGGATAGGGAGAAACTGGAACAAGTGGTATAAAAGTAAGTTTCTGCTCCACTGGTGTGCTGGCTGGGTTTTATGCAGCTAAGAATATATTTTTCTATTGTGCCTCAGTCATGCTACAGTGGTGGTGAGCAACAAATACGACTAATTTATTCAAATGCCTGCAATGCAAACAGTGGTGGTGGCCAAATACTTAATTTCCTTTGGAAGGGGGAGATAAGAAAAGGGTGGAGGAATCAGAGACAGGATCTTGGGATTGCAGGAGCCTGTCTGCTTGCAGACAGCAGGAGCTCTGCGACTGATGGGAAGCACAACATAAGACTCAGTGCTGATGTGGGGAGAAGGGTCATGCACAAGATATGGACTGGATGTTGATCCTTAAATCAACCACAGCTCTTTAATCAAAAGGGAACTGTAGTTATAAAAAAAAGCCTTCTTGATAGGACTTGCAGCAGTAGTTTAAATGGCTTGTCCTGTCCTTCAAAAAATACCCCTGCACATTTCTTCTCCCTGGGGAGGATGTAGCAGAGCAGGCAGCAGGGTCTGTGTCTTCAGACCATTTCATTAGAGTCTTCCATTTTCTTCATGGTAACATGGCTAGCAGGTTATATTCCTGGCCATTTTCCATGGATAAATGGATAGAAACCTTTTTTTTTACCTTAGATAAAGGAGAGGAACCATTATTGGGTTCTGGCATTTTGGCTTATTTGTTTGTTTTCCTTACCTCAGGGCAGCAAGGCTGAGAACAGCCAAGAGAGAAAGGACTGCTACAGGCTTTGCTTTAATAAAAGAAGCAGTTCTCTAAAATTATCCTGTAATGAAGCCAATCTCAGCAGTCTGGTAGCAGGAGGGAACAATCACCCTCCAAATGAGAGTGTGGTTTTAATGAGGCCAAGACCAGCAGGATGGCTCTGAGTTAGGAGGAGGGTATGGAAGAGGTGCACACGTAGCAGAGCTTGGCAACACTGTCTCTGCAGCTGCCTTGTGGTCTGTGTCCCATCCCTTCTGCTCCCATACCCAGGCAAAAGCTACCTGTTTGCCTCCATGCAGGGTGTCCTCAGTCCTTTTAAAGACTGCTGCTCTGATGAGAGTCTGAGGAGCTGCTGCTAGTAGACTGTAATTTGCTGAGCCGGGAGTGCAATGGGGAAATGACAGCTTCTGCAGGCTTTTAAGCCAGGGGAGAATCTTGAGCCATGTGCTAAAAACCCCAATGCAGAAATGGAGGTGCCTGAACTCCCTCAGGAAGCAGCACGTTAGCGCTGAGCCAGTGGGCTGCCCAGCCCTGCTGAGGTGGCCTTGCTGGAGGAGAGGGCTCAGTAGCTCCTCACTCGCCTTCGTGTGCTTTGTACAGGATCCAAGCCAGGGCCTCAGTGCAGATCTGCCTTGTGCTGGTCCCAGAGGCCTGGCCTCCAGTGGTAAGGGGCATTTCCTACCATTTTCTTACACTAGGCTTTCCTGCAATGTTTTACACTAGGGCTTCTCTGAAACCTGTTTACAAGAGGGTGGTGGTTCTGGGTGGTGAGAGCCATCAGGGATGATATTACCATGACTCCACAGGTATCTTTTTATCAGTCCTCTCTATCAATCACATGCATCAGAGCAAAGATTTAATCCTGTATCACTACTAGGGACAGCATATAGCGTGAGGCTTATTATCCAGCCTGTTGATAAGCAAACTTTCCATAGACGTGTCCTCTGCCTTTTCCTAGTAAAAACCATTTCACCACCTCCTTCATGTCTGCTCTTGTCTGTCCCTCCACCAGTGAGGGACATTTCATGCACAAAGGCAGAGAAAGCTGTAACTCCAGTTTTCACACCTGGTTTATAAGAAAGTGCAAGTGGGGACAGGGAACTCTGCTCAAATTGCTGCTCCCCTTGGCTTTTATCATCACAGCTATAGGGTGGTTAAGAAATATTTCTCAGCAGAAAGTAAGGGGTAGGAAGCAAAAAGGGAGAAAAGAGGCTGGTGGGTAGTGCCAGTAGGAAAGAGTCATGGATCATCAGTGCTTGCTTCAGCACCCTTGGCGATGCGTGCCTGGGAGACTGCCAGGGCTGGCAGAGCAACAGGGCAGGACTAATTGCTAACGCCAAGGACTGCTGTAAGCCCCTGGCTTTCATTAGCACAACCAAGCAAGCCTTCCCCAGTAAGAAAGAGGCCAGGAGCAATCTCGGAGAACATGGCGAGCAGGTAGTGACAAGCAGAGGTACAGGGAAAGCGGGTGAATACTGGAGCCTGGAGGCTACATTGGAAGCTGTGTAAGTTGTTTGCAAACCCAAGCAATTTGACATTTTTGCCTGCCCAGGTTTACTGCACAGTGCCTGTAGTAGATCCAGCTTTGCATGGGCTGCTGGCAGGCAGGTCATGCTGAAGCAGTTGTGGTCAGATCTTCTAAATGTGTTCCCTGCCTAGCCAGCGAGAAATAAAAATTTCTCTGCCACTTCCTGTCAGGAGTCTAAATTTAGCCCGTCGAAAGAACAGAAACAATTTTGTGACCCAGGTCTCTCAGGAAATGACATTCAGGGTTGAAAAATAACTTTTATATAAAGTTGAGCAGGGGGAGGATGAGAAGAAAAGGCTGTTGAACAGAATAAGGTAACTCCCCTGTTAAAATGGCAGAACAGAGCTTTGTAACACCAGTCCTACAGGCTTGTAAACATGCCTAAACTCATCTTTACACAGCTCCGAGCACTGCTGCTCAGACTCAAAGGGAACCTAAACTGATAAGTAGATTGAATCTTTTGTTCTTCATTTTCTGTATTTGTGTGCCTGTTCTCTCTTAAGCCCAAACTGACCCTGAAGTGTTCCCATGGGGTTTAGCTGAACCCAAGCTGGAGCTGAACCAAGGAATTTATGGATTTGCTTCCCCTGAAAGCAAATTGCTTGGCTTAATTTTCCTACATGCAATATGCTCATTTTGCCCTGAGCACCTTTTAAGAGGTCTGTTCTGTGCATTTAGGCTGTGAGGGAGCCCACTCATACCTATCCAGGGGGAGAAGTGCTCTGTGATTATAAGCTGTGCTCCAGTAAGCCTCAGGGCAGAGATCTTCTTTGTAAGCCGTATAGCAGTATATATACATGTCCCATCTGAGAAGATGTGGGTACACAGCATTTCTCTGGATCAGACCTCTGCAGTGGTACAAGGAGGCCATGATGTGAAGCACATTCCTTGGACTGCCTTGTCTCTCCTGTATTAAATCTTTTCCCACCAAGTACTAGCCCTATCAATAAAAGGCCACACTCACATTTCATAAAAAAGGTTTATAAGACAGTTCAGCTCCATGAGCTGTCAGCCAGTAAAAATGTCCTAAGACGTTTTAGGGCTGCCCATGTTTAGTTCTGCCTTGATTGAAGTCTGGCTGGGCATTCATAGGAAGCAGCTTTAAAGGGTGGGGATGGAAGTGGGCGTTTGTGGCTTAAAGTGAATAACATTCTTTTGAAACCAAACAGCGTATGACACATGAGTAACAAACACACAACATCTCTTTGGTAATTCCTGTATCTCTCTGAGAGATCCTAAGGAAGGGTAAACTGCCTGTCCCAGACCCCTTTCTTGTGTCTCAGGGCTGTTCTTGCTATTTGCTAACCAGGTGAATTAAACAGATGAACTCCTATTGCCTTCTGCCAGTTTCCAGCCACTCCCTCCACCCTCAACTTGTGGTTTTAATATTTTATTATAGGCTCTGTCAAAGCAATGGGATTAGTGATGGCTTGATAGCAGCCACTGATCTACTACATAGCCTCAGGAGCCATTTGCCTTTAGGAAATGTCTTGGTCTAAGATTATTATTGTTCAGGTGCCGAATGTCTTCTAAGGGGAGCTGTTGGTAGTTCACTCTTTAGTATGTGGCAACCATAGAATATGGTTTCTCTCTCTCCGAGTTGCTCTGTACACAGGTCTTATGGGCGTATAAAGATGTATTTCAGCAAAGAGATCCAAAATTTTATCCAGTGTTCAAGCAGCAGGATTTGGTGCTTGTTCACCAAACATTTTTAATGCAAAGCCTTTGCAATGTTTTCTCTGTGGTGAAGAAATGAGAATTAACCACCTCTAACAGCTTGGCTGCTGGTCATTGAGGGCTTAGTTCTCACAGGATCCTACATAGTAAATAGCTTTATTTATTACTTGTCTTTTTTTTAGGACTGGGGGCGTGTGTGTAATATGTTAGCTCAGAAGTAAAACTGCAGTATGAAGATCAATCTATCTTGTCAATGCTGAAATGGGCAATAACACCAAAACTCTCCAAAGTAAGGTCTTCCTTGATTGACAATGCTGTACTCAAACCGCTGCTTTTATAGCAGGACACTGTTGAATTTGTATAGATCTTCTCATTCAGCTTTATTTATAATAAAGGAAGTCTTGTGCAAAATCTAAAGAAGTGTGAAGTCTGTTTTGTTTCTAGTTCCCCCCAAAATGTTTCTGAGAGCGTGGAAGGATGGAGTGGGGATATGTCCAGTGCGATGCTAGCACAGTGAGCACAACGGCGAGATTCCCTGTGATTTCTGACTGCCTGTAGAAATTGTTCCAGAGTCAGATGCAACATGAACATAAAGTGGAATTCCAGACTTCCTGAGAATATGAATCCACAGGAATTCAAAATAATTATTCTGGATATCTCTGCTCAAAAACCACCCTTTTGTGGCAAGCCCTAAATATTGCTGATAGATGTTGCCCTTATCGACAGAACCAAAAATCTCCTGAATTTCCAGTTCAGCTAGAAGAATCATCATTACCTGCTCATTTTACAGGTATCTGCAGCCAACTTCCAGCAACCATCCACCACCACTTAGCCTCCTGCTTAACCGCTTTCCCTGGTTTAAGGGACTGGTACCTCCTTATTAATATTCTAATGTGCTCTGACTCTGGAAGGAAATCCAAAGCTAGTTAGGAATTCATATAATAAACCCACCACTGTTTCCTTGGCAACATGTCTTCCAGCCCCACGGAATGCTCTACACACCTTTAATTAATAAGTGCCTTCCAGTGATCACTGGGGCTGAATCAGCATTGAACGGGTCTGAGAAGCAGCTGGCTTAAGAGTGGCAGCACAAGTCTACCTAGCCAGGGGTTACAGTTTCCCAGGGTCAACCACACACTGCAGTAAATGGAGCTTGTGAGTCCTGTGGCCCAGGATCATCAGCAGCCTTGGTTGTTTTAGTGCAACTTTGCTATTTAAAATAAATAAATATAACCCCCAAAATAAACTCACCATGCTTTAAACCTCAGTCTGACAAGCTCAGCATCATTTTCTCCATTGAGCTGTTGACTTCCTGGAGCATTTTTTACTGCTTCTGTGTTGCCATGTAACAGAAGGGGTAACATCAATATAAAATCCTTTTTCAGAAGGGCAATTAGCAGATTTTTGGTCCGTGCCATGCCATAGAGTAGGCAGATGTAGAGACAGATAGAGGCCAACCCCAGTCACTAGAGATTCGTTTTGGCCTCCTCTTCTAGTAGTAGAACAGTCTTCCTCTAGGCTTTGACCTGGATTCTTTCTTCAGAGATTCAAATTCTTGTGTTTTCCTTATTTCCAGGCTTTCTTAAAGCCCTGATTCCAATGTGCTGGCTTTCATCAGTCTAGCAGCCTAGAATTTTGGCATACAATTATGGCTACACTGCAGTCTAGAAATGTACTTCCCACACCTGCAGACAATATTCCTAGAGGTGGACAAAAGCTCCTGAAGTAACAACCACCCTGCAGCTCAAACCTTAAATGTGTGCTTTATAGCTGCAGATTTAGCTAGTGCATGTAGACATGGCTACTTGTTTATGCTTGGTTGGCGTGTAAAGTCACTGTCCTGGGAAGCCCTTCACGACTTGAGCAAAGGGACAGATCATCCCAAGCTTGGCTAATGAGCACATGAACTTGAACTGAGAGTAAACCTCTTGGTCTTGTCCTCTCCGTCTCATCAATACGCAATTGCCTTTCACTTGTAACTGTATTTATAAAAAAAAAGGAGCTGCCTTTTCTTAACGATTGTACCCCACCAGCACAGCACAGCGTTCATGGACTTAAAGCCCCATGTCGTGCACCTGGAAATGGTGTGCATACCAGCCATTCCCTCCTGCGGCTGCATGGTTAGTTGCTCTATGTCATGTTCCAGGTCTCTCTCCCCTTCAAGATTCAACTTCTTCTAAAATCAAAACTCACAGGAAAAACTTCACAAAAAAAGGCTGATTTTTATTTAGATTTGGAAAGCAGCACTCTCTATTCCAGCTAGAGGCATCTCTAATCTCAGTTTTATTACCACTTTAAAATAATCCCTGAGAAGAGAGATGAGTTTGTGGTGTACTTTGACATTTTTTCAGCACACTGAGAATAAATAGCTGAATATGGGAAAGTTACACAAAGCAAATCAAGTCTGTCACATGCCAGAAAACCTCCAGTAGCTTTTGGCTTCTGATGCTGTCAAGCCTGTGTGGGAAGATGACTGCAAGATTAAAACAACTAACACATAACAGAGTGAGTATCTCCACTGTCCTGGTTTAGTAGATGATGAGACCTTAAAGACCTGGGCATTTTTGCTTTCAATACCATATGTTGTTTAAACATTTTAGATGGCAGAAACTGACTCAGTAATTATGGGGAGAGGTCTTAGGCATTTACAATTTCTCTTTGGGGGCAAGAATGCAAGTAACGTTTACCTCCTCCTCTCTATTGCCTGATAAAACCCCTCTTTTGGTTATTAAAAGCTTCCCATAAAGTCTCCTTGTAACACTTATAATAAAGACTTTGCTGGTTTACATCTGTGTCTCTAAGCCATAAACTCAGAAGTCACAGTAACAGTCTATGATTCTGTGTTAGGGCCTCCAATCTAGCCCCGTAAAGTTGCTATGACATTGGGCATTGACTGCTGCTTCATTTGAAAACTTCAAAATAGCATTTTAAATGCTGGAAATTTGGAAACAGATCAAATAAAAGAACACAAGAATGGCAGGTATAATGTTAATTGTGAAACTTTTCATTTTAATGAAGGTTTTCAAACACAGTTCAGAGTTCTTTCAGTTTCCCAAAATTCCCAAATCATCTGAGTTCACTGAAGTCCATCATCAACAACCCTCTCCAAACCCATGGAGGGGTACACACCTCTCAGATTAGTTCCTTCAGACTGGGGTTGTTTCAGCTGCTTGCTGTCTGCTAGGAGCTCTCTCAGGTAGACTGTCCTGCCAATAAGCCCAAGTTGAGTCACATCAGCATTTAGATGGATGTACTAGCACAGATGTCTGTAGCATGTCTCTCCAGTGTGATGAGCTGCTGTACTTGCTACAGCCTGGTCCTCCTCTCTCTACACAAGTTTCCCCATGACATTTAAGATTGAAATCAAGTTACCCCCTGACTTTCAGGAAAACTCAGAAGGTCATGAAAAGCTTATAAATGCAGGTCTAGTCTGCATCCCTGGTCCCCCATTACAGTGACAGACTTCACTGGACAGGTAATGCTTGCAAATGCAATAAGCAGCCTTTTCCACAAGCACAAGAAAAAGATCTCCTTTTATGCACTGCCTGGATATGTAACTGTTATGTTGGGCAGTTCTTATGGATTTGACATGAAACACCCCTGTATCTCATACCCTTCATGGTAATCAGGTACATAATTCTGATGTGTGGTTAATACTAAAGACCTGCAGACCTTAGAAAAATTGTTTATTCCACACAGGAATGCATTTCTGTTTCCCAACTCTGCACAATGTTGTTTTGCTACTATGCAAATCAGGGTGATGTTTTTGTTGATACAAATTAGCACTTTTCAAGCGTTAAGTCATCCAGGGAGGCAGGCAGGCAGGACAGAAAAGCCAAGATAATAATTCGCAGCTAATAATTTATCTAATGACTTTTTACCGCTCATGGAATATCCACAAGCAAGGACAGAATCTCCTTTATTTCAAGTAGGCAGAAATGTCTATGCTATAAAAAAGCAAGAGCAACGTCAGAGGTTACGGTGACCTACAGGCATGCTAACATTAATTTGGTCAGGTACCACTAGCAGTCAAGCTGGGAGCACTGCTCTCAGAATGGGATACTGCTCAGGATTTGCCCACTTCTTAAGCAGGTTTCATCCTCTCTGCTTAACTCTGTTATGGTTCTTTGCTTGCAGGTCTAAAAGCTGACTCAGGTCTGTCCCCAGGTGCCACTGGCACAGTATCAGATACATGTCTTATATTTATCTGGATTGTGTCTGTGTGGAAAGAGGATTTCTCAAGGTATTGGTTCAGTGGCTCCAACCAAACATTTGACCTGTTGTACACCTTCCAAGTAAAATTCAAGGCAGTCCTGCCTTTTTCTAAAATGATTGATTCATTATGGCAACATAAACTAGGTTATTTTTAGCCAGCTTCCTATGCAGTCAGTGTGTGCATGCATGGAGGGAGCAGGGGGGAGGTGCAAAGAGGAGGGTCTATGCCTCATCTCCTGCCAAGTAACTTTTGAATCAACCAACTTTGACCAAATTTGACAGATCTGTAGAGAGCTCAGAAATACTCAGCTGCAATAAATTTGAGGCAAGCAGGCAGATGGATAGAGGAAACAGACTCTCATAATGCTGAGAAGAGCACAAGAGATCTTTTAAATGTCCCCAGTGCAGTAAAAGGTTGTTGGTAGTCATGCGTTCCTGAAGAAGGAAGCTATGATGAAACAGGGTTGTGTTACTTCTGCTACTCTCAAAATGATCCGCACAACTTTGTAGCAGAGCCTTGAGAGAAGAGGAAGGAGGCAAACAGACACATACTCCTATCATATCTATTGGACAAGTCTGGTCCCGAAACAGAAATCTGAACAAGCCCGTGCTGTGAATCAATTAATGTTTCAGCATTCAAAAGAAACGTCACTTTCTAGTTATGTTACATTTAGGAGCATCATCTTGGACTCCTCAGCTACTAGTTGCAAAACCTTTGGCTGCAGAGGCTTGGGGGACTCTGTAGAGCAAAGCTTTTCAGTCATTGTCTGCAGAGGTGCT